GTTATGTCCCTTAACTATTATTTAGATTCTCATTTAAACTACAAGTTACCCTTCTATCTTTTATCCTTGCAATACATTCATTGAAGAAACTGATCTATTTGTTCTGTAGAATCTCCCACAGTCTGGATTTTAATAAATGCATCTTCATCATAAATCTTTCCTCTCTGTCCACTCTATTTCCTTTAAATGGGATTTGGATCTAGAGGCTTGATCAGATTCAACTGTAATTTTTTGACAAGACAGAGGCTGGTGTGTTCTTCAACTAGAAGGCACATAATGTGTGGTGGTCCTGTCTTTTCCAATGTTAGCAAGCACTGATGCTTAAGGCTAAGTCTCCTGAATTCATTAAGGGTTCACTGTCCTTGCATGTCTATAAGTCTTCCTATATTCAGTTGAATAGGGGTGGTGAGAGGCATATCCTCATTCCCGATCTTTGCACAGTATCATGTCAGAATTAAGTTCTTGTGCATGTTATTTATCCATTTAAGTTTCCCTCTGTGTCTGGATTGCATTTTTTAAAATTGCAAATGAATGTTGAGTTTTATTAAATGTTTTTCTACATCTATTAATATTATCATGTTATTTGTCTTCATTAGCCTGGATAACTACAGGAATCTCTTTAAAAACTCTTTTTGAAACTTTGTCAACTAATAAAAATATTTTTGTTCATTAGCCTGTTCAGGGGATGGATAACATTCTGTTATGATGTTTTGTGTGTGTGTGTGGTGCTGGGGATTGAATCCAGGGCTTTGTGCATGCAAGGCAAGCACTCTACCAACTGAGCTATATCCCCAGCCTGATAAAATTGATTCTGAATAATGAATAAATCTTGCAAACATGGACTAAATACTTTGTCTTGGTATGTAATTACTTTTAAACATTGTTAGGTTTAATTTGCTAATATTTTGTTGAGAATTTTTTTTGCACATTTGTGGAAAACATTGGTCTGCATCTGTTTTTGGTATTTGGTAATACTAGCCTCATAGAATGAGACAGGAAGCATTCCTTCTGCTTCTACTTTCTAGAAGAGATTGTAGAGAATTGGCATGATTTTTTTCCTTAAATGTTTTGTAGAGTTCATCAGTAAAACCATCTGGGCCTTGTGCTTTGTTTTGTAAGGCTATTAGTTATTAAATTTATTTTATAGATATAAGCCTATTAAGATTATTTCTCCTTTTGAGTTTTGGTAGGTTGTGTTCCAAGGAATTACTCCATTTCATTTAGGTTATCAAGTTTATAGCCATCAAGTTTTTTGATAATATTTTCTTTTCATCCTTTCCAAAGGATCAGTAGTTGTCTCTAGTTCATTTCTGATAGTTGTGATTTGAATCTTCCCTCTTTTTTCTATACCATCTGATTTTATTGTGAAAGAACAAGCTTTCATTTTTATTTACTTTCTTCTTTTTTTATTAAAATTTTTTGTAGTTGTAGATGGACACAATGCCGTTATTTTATTTTTTAATGTGGTACTGAGGATGGAACCCCAGTGCCTCATGCATACTAGGCAAGTGCTTTACCACTGAGCTACAGTCCCAGATCCTCCTCTATTGTTTTTAATTCATTTATTTCTGCTCTTTAAATAGTTATTTTTCTACTTATTTTGGTTTTAATTTGCCATTCTTTATCTAGTTTCCTAAGGTGGACGCTTTCTGCTATAGTTCGGATCTGGAGTGTACCCCAAAGACTTGGCCACTAGCCTGTGGTGCTATTGGGAGACGGCAGAGCCTTTAGGAGGTGGGGCCTGGCAGAAGAAAGTTAAAGTACTGGGATCGGATCTCAGTCCCTTCCTCTTTGCCTCCTGGCTGTCATGACATGAACAGGTCTCCTCCAGCACATGATATACACATGATATACTCCTTCCACCATGATATACTGTGCAGCCACAAGCCCAAAGAAACAGGGCCAAATGACCATGGAATGAAGTGAGCCAAAATAAACCTTTCTCACTTTTAAGTTGATTTTCTTGGTCTTTTGTCACAGACAAAAGCTTTAATTTAAAACCATACAAACAAAATTTAGAACTTTGTATTTCTAATATGTATATTCTTTGTTATAAATTTCCCTATTACCACTACTTCTACTGTATCTCACAACTTTCATTTGGACTTTGTTCAAAATATCTTTAAATTTTCTTGACACTTTGTCTTTGACCCATTTGTTATTTGGAAGAATGCTGTTTAATCTTTAGACATTTTGGGATTTTCAGTTATCTTTCCCTTATTGTTTTTTAGTTTGATTGCATTGTGATCTGAATGTATGCTTTGGATGACCTCTATTCTTTTAGATTAGCTAAGGTGTGTTTTACAGCCTATAATGTGGTCTGTCCTGGTGAATGTTCCACGTAAGCCTGAGAAGACTGTTCTGCTGTTCTTAGATGAAGTATTCTGAATGTTAATTATATGTATAGTCCTTGGCACCATGAAATTGGGTGAGATAACTGACAGCAATTCTCCGTCTGGTTCCAGACAAATGGAATAATATCCTCTGGGCTTTGACCCAGACATTGGTAATTTTGGAAACTATTTTGATAATTCTATTGTGTTGAAAACCTCACAGAAAAGACACGAAGTGGGCTAAGGACTGAGCCCTGGGGCCCTTCAAAATTTAGAATTGTGTCTCCTGGTTGATCACTGGTATCACCTGGAAGCTGACAATGACTCTCTGATTAGCCAAACTTTAGTCAGACTTCTCCTAGGCCCATCTATTTTTTTTTTTTTTTTTGGTAAAATTGTTTCAACAAAAGAACCCTGCTAAGTCAGTTTACCAAGAATATCCTATCCTGAATGTGATCAGGTCCCTCATTCTACACCATCCCCAGGAGATGTCTGATCACCCTGGTTTGTTTTTGGCAAGAATCCTGTCAAGTCAGTCTAGTTAGAATGTCCCTTGCCCCTGACACTTCCTCTTAGTGAATTTTCATCTACTGAACCTGACCATACTACTTGGCTATAAATCTCCACTTGTTTGTGCTGTATTTGGAGTTGAACGCCATTTCTCTCCCCTATCATGATGATCCTAAATAGCCTTCCTTACTATGCTTTGGCAAGTATCATTAATTTTTACAAATACAGCCTTAAAAAATATCAATGTCTGTGCCCATCAAATTCCAATTTAATTGGTCTAGTGTGTTCTCTGAGCTTTCATATATTTTTTAAAAGCCCTCCAGGTAGTTTCAATAGGCAGCAAAGTTTGAAACCACAGATTAAAGGCTTCAGTAAATGCAGAACAAATCCGAGTGTGGTGGCACAGGCCTGTAATGCCAGCCACTTGGAAGACTGAGGGAGGAGAATTACAAGTTCAAGGCCAACTTCAGCCACTAGAAATACCCTGCCTCGGGCTGGGGATGTGGTTCAAGTGGTAGCGCGCTCGCCTGGCATGCGTGCGGCCCGGGTTCGATCCTCAGCACCACATACCAACAAAAGATGTTATGTCCACCGAGAACTAAAAAAAAKAAATATTAAAAAAAAAAAAAAAAGAAATACCCTGCCTCAAGATAAAAAATAAAAAGGGCTAGGGAATTTGATCCCTAGTCAAGAAAAAACAAAAACAAACAAAAAACAAAGCCAGAGGAGAATAGGGTCCTGTGAAACTAGTGGGGGAAGTTTCAGAAAGTGTATGATTAAGAATGTCAACTGCTAGTCTAAAATAAACTGATATCTGGATGTTGTACTTGGGGAAATCGGATATCTTTGGTGACCCTGACAAAAGCTGCTCAGGGAATGCTGGGTTGGAGGTAAAACTGATGTGAACTCAACAGAGAATGGAAAAAGTGGAGACCCACCCTGTCAACTAAGGTTAGTGAAAATTTTATTAGCTTTGTTAACTTTTTATATTTATCCAATCATTTAGGCTTCTAATTTTTTAGAGTTATATGTCATTATTATTCTTAGATGACACAGATGATAAATGGCTGAGATAAGGAATAATGTTTTTTAACATTATCATAGTGTGGGTGGATTCAGCTGTCAGCTATATTTTGCCAAAACCACCCCCCCAAGACATCTTGTCTTCAATTTGTAATTCTTAGGCTACTTGTAAGCCTGAACATTTTTTTCATGTCTTGTAGCTGTTTTCCTCTTGGAAAACCCACCTGTAACTGCTAGAATCCAGTGCTCATCAGTTTGTAGCTACCTATGCACTGTTAGATCTCCTGGTCTGTCCTCCCACTTCTGCCTTACAGGACACTCCAGCACAGCATCTTTGGGAATGGATGTTTTCTATTTGTAGTTGCATTTGGAATTGGATCTTTGTTTCTTCACACTCTCTAGTGCTTGTGCTTGCAGCTATATTGGGAAACTTGACATGGCTGTGTTCACCTTTTTTACTCAAGCRTTAATGAGCTCCTTACTGAGCTAATTTGCTTGATTTCCAGGGACCCAGGCCAATACTGGAAGGTGTCAGGCCAGGTCACCTTGGAGGAGCCCCAGGTTCAGCAGGCCTGCCCCACCAGCACCAGGCAACAATGGCCCAGGCAGAACCAGCCTGGAGACCCCATCCTAGTGTGTGGGGATTTCCAAAGAATCACTAGAATGTGTGGGTAGCCAGTTTTGTCCCTTCTTTTAAAGATCACTGTTGACTTGATATAGGAAGTATATAAAGGGCAATTTTTCTGTTTTTAAGTGTTTAGGATTTTTGTTTTGAAATTATGATTTCCTATGATGAACTGAATCATAAAGTGTCCTTTTTTTCAGAATACTTTGTACCAACAAACCTTAGAATCATGTTAAAAATATAAAAACAGAAACAAAAAAATACCAATAGGCAGAAAGAAACAAACTATTATTTGTAGATGGTAAATGTTTACCACAAAAGAACTAAACAACTTTTCCTGAGAAATTATTGAAAAAAACCATTCAGTGAGGTGGCACACAAATATTTTTTAAAAACTTTCCTATATAAGAGAATTAACCAATTTGAAAAATGAAAAATAACAAAATTGGATAGAATTTAAGTGAAAAAAATAGAAAAATTTGCACAGGAATACTGTAACTAAGTAAGAAGGCATGTTTCTGGGTATAAAACAAAAATCTGTGAAAATTAATAAATCTTCCCAAATGGCTTATAGGCTGAACCCATTCCACACAGAATAACCAAGTAAAACTTTGGGGAAAAAAAACAAAACTGACCAAGAATCCCTAATCAAAATGTGAGACGAGTTCCATTGAGGCACCACTGTTCTTGACTCCAGGCAGGTCGCACAGGAGGGCCTGGCTATCAGGAGGAAGGATGACGACCATCCACTACAAGAAGACCCATAGAATCCCATTTCTTGAGAAACAATGGAGCTAACCACTAAAGGCATAGTCTCTAAACACTTTGCCTTGTGAGGTAGTGACCATTCAAAGGTCTGTTGACTGTGTAAAGGGGAATTAAGCCTAAGGGAGGTTATGCCTAGTTGTGGATCCAAGCCAACTTTTTCCTGTCTGTAGGTCTGTTACTTTTCTTTAGCTTCCAGGTTTTCCTTCCTAGCAGTTAAGACCTTGGATCACAAAGGGAAAAGATCCTAAAGAGCTTTCCCAGACAGCAGTGGTGCTGGATGGTCAGACCTGAGTGATCTGAACCTCTTTTGGCAAGGGAGAGGCATGAGGCAGCTGTCTGAGATTAACAGCTGTAAAGAATCAAGAATAGTAGAGAGACCTTCAAATTATGATGTGAAAAGGATTTCTATAAAACAGCCCATTTTAGCCCCAAATTGCAAATGTTTTTGAAATTTATAATTATTTTAGATCACTTACAAATGAGGGTAAGTCTTTTGACATTCAAATGCTTTAGTTTTCCTATATCAAAGAGTAAACAATTCAACACTCAAGCCATATCAGGATGTTATGCAAGCGTTATAGGAACTGTTATTAGAAGCTGTTGACTTAACAAACCAGTAGTTTGGTTCTTTCTGGGAGATCAATTCCAGATAAAGACTTTTGTGTTCTCTTTTCTCAAGTGTGAATTCCCATGCAAGGGAAAAGAGATCTATTTCAATAGATGTGACTGTCCAGCTCACCTTGCATGTAAGCAGCCCCAGACTCTTTCAAATTTAAATTCTTGGGAAAAGGATCTGTGACCTATATATTGTTGTACAACTTCACAAAGAAAGCTCCTTAGTCCAGGAAGTCTGGATGCTAACTGAGGTATAGCCCTTGAAGATATTTCCCTCTCTGTGGATTTTCTAACAACTGAGGTTTAGCCAACATGGGTATTTATCCAAATTTGGCTATAATGAGGTTTTCACATATCTGTGTGTTTTTAGGCAGCCTTGTGAAACTTCTCAGGCTGAGGCAGGATGATTCCCAATCTCATTTCTGCTTTGGGGTCTTACATGCAGAGTGGGTCCTCTCATGCCGGGTACAGTTTGACAGCCGACCAAATCTTCTCCCACATTTTTTGCAACCGTATGGCCTCTCAGTCTCATGACTCTGCAGGTGAAGCACAAATTCTTCGTTTTTTGGGAAGGTTTTCCCACATTCTGGACACTTAAATACCTTCTCCCTTACATGGATTCCTTCATGGCGACTCCGATGAGAATTCTGACGAAAGTTTTTCCCACACTGAGAACAGGAATAAGGCTTCTCTCCTGTGTGGATTCGCTCATGTTTATTGAGGTTTGTTTTATGATTGAAGCTTTTCCCACAGTGGCTACAGTCATAGGGTTTCTCTCCAGTGTGAGTCCTCTGGTGGGAAATAAGGTAAGAGCTTTCATTAAACTGCTTCCCACACAGTGGGCAAGTGTACCATCTCCTTGTTCTCCGACTCCGAGTAAGTGCAATAACATTGATGTCCACAAATTTCGAGAGCTCCTCTAGTGGAGTGTCATTTTCAATAGTAACTAAAAGATTTCTCATTTTCCTTTGCTGTGGAATGGATGTATTTAGTCTTTCTTCTTGGCTACCTGGAGGTTGCTCAGAGACCAAGGAACAATCCACTCCATCACCATCCAAAGACTTTTCTCCGCAATTTCCCTTCTGAAGATCTTCACTTGTAGGACTGTCATTGGCTGTGGAAACAGAGAGAAACTGTAATAAATTTGAGGGACAGAACAATACCAGGCAGGAAAAGACAAGCTGGGTATCTTATGAAACAATAACCTTGAAAGTCAGATATTTGAAGTCTGGCAGATAACCATCATGAACCCTCTTTTTCTACTCTTATTGAGCACATGATAGATGACTGTCAGTCTGTCTCCCACAGTCCTCTTTTCACTTTTCTTAAAAAGTGAGTGGGAATGCACTAAAAGATTTCACATATTTGTTTCTCAACTGGCACAAAGTTCATACTGACCTTATATTCTGTGTAGGAGCACTCAGCTAAGGACACGCCCCCCCCCCCAGGGGTAAAGGATATGCATAATAAAGGGCACGGTTCATAATCTTCGGAGTCTAGTGATAGAATGAAGTGTTTCAGGTTTTTACTGTGCTAAACAGTGCAATATTTTACCAATTTTACAATATCATATACAAGAAAAAAACTGGAGGGCTAAGGATATAGCTTAGTTGATAGAGCACTTGCTCCACATGCCCAAGGCCCTGGGTTCAGTCCCCAGCACCACCATCAAAAAAAAAGGAAAGAAAGAAAAAACTGGAAACAATTCAAAATGGCCAAAATTAAAGAAGGCACTGCATATTCACACAAGTGATTGGTATTTGGCTATTAAAGAATTTACTACAATCAATAAAATGCAACTATGGCATTAGAAATCAGCAGTTTTTCTTTGGGAAGGAAGGGGAGTAATGACTGGGAGGAGACAAGAGAAATTTCTGGGGTGCTAAGAACAATAATTGTGGGTGTTAGATAACTGTGTACATTTTGTGAAAAACTGAGCTGTATACTTATGATATATAGCCTTCTCTTTTTTTATATTATAGCTCAAAATAATGTCTGTATAAAACAATAGATTATAAAAAGTAGGTAGCAAAGTGGGAAAAGTCTGTTGTGAATAGGTGGGGTGACAAGTAAGCTCTAAATTCTGGAGAACAGATGGAGGATAAAGTAAAAGGTTGAAACCAACCCCTTCATGTGACTGATCCACAAGATGGGATGTAAATCTCTGCTACATTATAGCAGTTTCACTTCAATAGATTTTTTCTTTTTAATTATTTTTAAATTACTATCTTAGAATAATGAAAATGCTGGGTTAAAGCATATGCCATTTTTTAAAAACATTAAAAATACTTTTATTTTATTTATTTTTATGTGGTGCTGAGGAGTGAACCCAATGCCTTATGTGCAGTGAGTGCTCTGATGAGCCACAACCCCAGCCCTGCATATGCCAATTTTTAACACTGTTTTTTCTCCTTCTTTCCTTCCTTCCTCCTTTACTTCCCTCCCTCCCTCCCCCACCCTTTCTTTCTTTCTTTTCCACCTCCAARCCACATCCCCAGCCCCCCTCCCAAAAAACTCCCTATGACCACCCGCACTCCATGCCTCTGGCCTGCGCTGCCAGCTCCACCTGCTCCACGCTTTGGCTCCAGCTTTTCTTAAAAAAAATTGAGACAGGGTCTTGCTAAGTTGTTGAGATTGGCCTTAAATTTGTGATCCTCCTGCCTCAGCATCCAAAGTCACTGGGATTATAGGCATGCRCCCACAGGATCTAGCTCATCACTGCTCTTGATATGAATTACCATACTACTTTCCAGCACTGTATCAATGTCAATATAACCATTATTGTATGAGTTATCAGTTTTACTTCATCTTGCCAATATAAAATTTTAAAATGTTTCACAGTTATAAAGCAATGCATCACTGTAATTTTAATTTACAAAATAATTTATTATTAATTTCATAAATATATACATTTTATATATTATAGAACTTAATCATCATTAATTATTATAGAACTTAATCATCATTWATTTGTCAATCATCATTAATTAATATTTTAAAAAATTGAACTATTCCTCTATAACTCCACATTAAAACCAGAAAAAAAAATACATCAGTCTTTCAAGATTTCACAGTTTTGTTTGCTGGCTATTCTTCTGACTTTTTTTTTCTGCCTCAGTTGCAAACACTGTCTCCAATATATTGTATTTTATTTATATATTTTTTCTTATTCTGCCATGCACAAGTTTTAATTTTTATGTATTTTGTTATTTTTCTTTCAAAGCTGCTAGACTTCTGAACCTTAATTACAAAAGCCTTACTATCCCAAGGTTACAAAAGAATTCATCCATATTTTCTAACTGTGGTTTTGTTTTTGTGTTAGTTTGCTTGAAAGACCTTTGATCCCTTTGGAGTTCTTGGTAATGTTAAGTAAGGTAATGATTCACTAGTGGCTTCTCACCTGTCGCAATACCTTTTGCCCAAAAGTCCCTCTTTGCTGGGGGCAGTGGTGCATGCTTATGATCTCAGCTACTTGGGAGGYTGAGGAAAGGGGGTTGCAAATTCAAGGGTAGCCTACAATTTAGCGAGACCCTGTCTCAAAATAATAAAAAAGGGCTTGGGATATAGCTTAGTGGTAAAGTGAAGCTGGGTTCAATCCCAGATACTACAAAACAAACAAACAAACAAATTCATAAATAAAAAAATAATAAAATAAAATTCTGTTTACTTTGCTGACATGAGATCTGACTTTACATGTATTTGCAGTCATTTCTGGACTTTGTATTCCATCCCATTGGAATCCATCTACTCATGTGCCAATATCACACTGTTTGAATTATGGAGACTTTGTGGGCTGTTTTAATATCTGACAGGGTGATATGGTTTGGGTCTTAACTAACTATCCTTCAAAGGCCCATATGYTAAAGACTTGGTTTCCAGCCTGTGGTGATATGGGAGGTGGCAGAACCTTTGGGAGGGGGGCTAGTGGAAGTACCTTAGATGATTGGGAGTGTCCCCTTGAAGGGAATATTGACACCCCGGCCTCTTCCTCTCTGCTTCCTGCTGCCCGGAGGTGAGCAGCTGTGCTCCAGCTTCTACTCCCTGCCCAATGTGATGCCTTGCCACAGGGCCAAGAACAATGAGAAGAGCTAACCATGGACTGACACTTCTGAAACCATAAGCCAAAATGAACCTATTTTTTCTTCTACTTTTGTGTCCTTTCCAAGTTTCCTCATATATTTTGCAAATAACTTTATTCCTAGGTAGTTAATGTTACTATTTTAGTAGAGTCTTCCACCACAMCTTTCAAATGATTTTTTTCTTTTGCATTTCAAAATCTGATGATTTTTGTTCATTTATTTCACATTCCTTTGCCTTACTGAATGCTCTTATTATTTGTAGTAAGTTTTTAGACATTATTGGAGGTTTCCAGTTACATAATTATACCATATAAATAGAGGTAGTTTTTAAAAATTAATTAATTTATTTATTTTGGTACTGGGGATTGAACCTAGCTTTTTTTTTTTTTTT